TACATTATTTCCTTAACTAATACATAAAAGAAAGAAAGGTTGCCGTGTTACGGTTCCTTTCTAAATGTCGTAATTTAGATTTTTATATTTGTGTAATAGTATTAGTATTTTCGTTTTCCAAAATATAAATTAAAATGGTGTGGTTATTTTTACATCACCGTATCATGTGAATTCCCATTTATATCCGAAAAATTATCTATTTTTGTTCAAAACGCCAGGGTTGAGCGAAGCAGATACTTGGCTGAAAGGAAATCGCATTTCGCTTTAGATGTATTTTGCGTGGTGTCTACCGCTGTCTACCATTAGGTCTTCGTCTTGCTCTGACATTTCGGACCGTTTAAAATGACCAAAAACTTGTGACCTTGCCTTGGAGCCTTTACCTTAGATCCAAGACTTGCCATATAACGTGTTAGTGTTAGTATAGTTTCGGGTCACGAGACCGGGATTCAAAAACACTTATTTACATTTTGTTTTGTTGTTATTATTATTATCGGACAATTTCAACTCAATGATAGATAAACAAACAATATATACAAAAAATTTTTTGATTTTGACCATTTGAGAAATATCTGGAGAAAAAAAATAAAACCCATCGATTGATCTTTTGCAAAGGATTTTTTTTTAATTAGCTTAGTTAACTTTTTCTTAATAATCGAAATTTGTAAATAACTTTTGATGTTTGTGTGAAGTTTATTCTTCTATATACAGCGATAGACTTGAAAAAAAATCAAACTCTAGTGATCGATTTATCGTGATTCAACAATAAAAGGATTTCAGAATTCTTTGAAGATTTTAAAACCTGTCTTATTTGTTATGTAAAGGTCGTTCCAAGTACCAGTATTGGATTAACCTATATCGCTTCAAACTCAGACACTAAAGACAGCTCAAGGACATTATTAATATTATTGCATATTACTATTACGTGCAGTTAACTTCTAAAGTCAAAAATTTGAAAAAAAATCAATTTAACGCAACTCATATGTATGTAATAATAAAAGAATAGTTTTAATTTGTAAAAAAGAAGAGGCATTTTTATTTTGAAAAAAAATACACGTAAAAAATAAGTACTTCAAATTATAACATTTGTAAACTTTCCATGATAATTATTCTTCTTTCATCATTGCAATATATATATACATACAATAATTCTTTATTACATAATTTGGGACTTTTGATAATGCTTGTATCGAGTGTTTTACTTGTATCAAGGGTTTTTACTTATGTCGAGTGTTTTTAATTACGTCAAATGTTTTTACTTACGTCAAGGTTTTTAATTACTTCAAGTGATTTTACTTACATCAAGAGCGCTTTTACTTTAGTCAAATCGTCAAAATGGTTCTGGTGAGAAACTACTTTTAGTCAATACTTTAGTTATGTCAACGACTAAAGTCAGAAGCTTCGTCATACATCATTATATAGAACTATTCTTATATAAAAATAATTAATTACATTAGTTCCACTATGGAACTCAAGAATTATAGTACTATCAGAAGCATTTTGAAGAAATAACAAGGGGAAAAGATTACTCCTTATGTTTTCAAAATAAATAATGCTCAAAATATTTAAGGAAAGAAAGGGTTATCTATGAAATTTATCAAGAAAGAAAAATCATAATTGATAAAAGAAATTTGGAAGAAAAATAATTTACTGCTTAACATTTAATTATCAGTATAGGCGAGCATATTTATATTATTTTTTACTGAATTTCTTAAACTTGATTTGTTTCTTGATTCTTGGCTGTCCCTAATTGCTCTAATTTTCAGCTTAATTGTCTTTCTCTTGTTCTTTAGCTGTTTCCAAGGCATACAAGTGTGTTGCATTATCTCTCTTGATATTCTCAGCTTGTTGCTTTCAGTCTTCAATAATTTTGATTATTGTGTCACTTTTCCCATTTCTCAATCACTTAATAAGTTCTTCTTTTCAATTATCTTTATCTGCTTCTATTTCTCAAATTGACGCCTGAATGTGTTTTAAATTGGTATATATTTATTTTAATTACAAATTAAAATTCCAAAAAATATTAACAATGATAATATGGATATTACAATCATTGATCAATAATTGGTTATGGAAGCATGGGAGGCAAAAGTGATCAAAGTAATGATGATGGTGAAACAATTAGAATAGATAGTAGCAAAGAAAAAGTAGTGGTAGGTGATAATAATTTTTGAAAGTATTCTAAATTTTTTTTTTAAAATCAATAAAATTTAAAAAATGCGCTGCACTGCATAAAATGCACATTATGTGCATGGAATTTTGAAATTTCATCCAATTCCCCATCTCTTTTCTTTAAAAGATCCGTTTTTTATTATGAGACTTGGTGACATTGACTTTACCAATTGTGCTCTACATAATTTAATTTAATTTTAATTCAAAAAAATTTCTGCGCCAAAAACATCTCAATTATTATCCGGGGTCCTCCTTAACCTCTTGCTCTAAAATTCCTTTGTGGCGTATTCAGGCCCTGAATACAGTGGATATGTAAGTTACTATATATATTTAGATAATTTAAGACTATACTTGGAATGATCTGCATTATTTAGCCATTTTGGCTGCCCACGGTCCATCTAATAAAAAGTGTGGCGTATTCAGGGGTCCTGTTCACGTCTGGTTTTAATTTTCATTTTAATTTTATTATTATTATTTTTTTTTTTATCACCAACAGCTACCATTATAAATATAATTATAATACTTATATTATAAATAAATATGGATCGAGCGGTTTATGAAACTATTACACAAGTTTTATCTGATAATCCTAATGTTCGCATGGCAGCAGAGTTAAGTTTAAGAGAATTAGTGAAGCAACCAGGTTTTTTTTTTGATTCTTTAAAAATCTTCCCGTAATGTTATAGACGCGTACATGCTCACTAATATAATAAATTTTACTTTTAATTATTAGAATACCCTATTAGTCTTGCAAGAATGATGCTTTCACAAGAATTAGATGTACCAAAACGTCAAATATCCTTTTGAAAATTTAAATAATAATTAGAAACAATTTGTCATTTTTATTATTATATTTAATTTAATTCTTTAATTACTCCGCAGGTGTAACTTTGAAAAATTATATTAGTACAAATTGGGCAACTGATAGCGCAAAATTTGTAGGTCCTGAATTAAAACCAGAGGTTGTGGACATTTTGTTTATAAATGCTATTATCCATTACGACGGCTCTTAGAACATCATTAATTATTTTTATTTATTTAGGCAAAAGCTGTTGTACGTGAATTAGCTTTCAATGGTTTATCCGATGCCTCTAATAAAATCCGTGTTGTATCAGTTAGTAGTAATTTTTCATTCTGATCTAATTAGTTTTTAATTCAGAAACAAATTACATTATTTTTATTTATGTTAATAATTATATTTTAAATTAGGCGTCTATTGTTTCAAAAATTGCTCATGATGATTGGCCAGAAGCTTGGCCAAATCTTTTTGATTTATTAATATCACTTTTGAAAAGTGATAATATAAATCAAGTACATGGTGCTTTAAGAGTAATGAACGGTATATTTAAATAAATATATAGTTTTTTTTTTGAAAAAAATCCATCTATAATAATTTAATTTATTTAATTTCAGAATTTGTCAATCATGACATTTCTGAACATCAATTTCCTAGAGTTGCTAATACATTATTACCGGAACTTGCTAGAATTATAAAATCAGAAGATGTAAATAATTCTAAATTAGTATATTCATATAGAACACGAGGACGTGCTGTGTCAATATTTAGACAATGTATTGAAATATTATACATGTACAAAGAAGAACATCCTGAGCCAACAGAATTATATATTGCACAAAATATTGCAGGATGGTTAGAAAATTTATTAAAAATTTTGACTCACAGAATCATAAATAACAACAATGATAATTGTTTGGAAGAATATGGTTTAAAATTGGATGTTATAAAGGTAGGTGATCAATTTTTTGGATTTTTTTTTTGTAAAAAGAAAATCAAATTTTCATTTTATTGATTTTTTTTTTAATTGGTAGTGTTTGAATTCTCTTATTCAATATTATCCAAAAATACTTTCACAATATTTGATTTCATTATTAGAACCTGTGTGGACAGATTTATTTGACCAACGGGAAAGATATCCTCTATAATCATTTTAAAAAATATACATAATTAATTAACTATTAAATTAAATCAAATCCTTAATATAATACTTTACTTTTGTGAAAAATTATGTTCATGAATCTGGTGAAGGAGTAAAAATTTATCAAGATTCTGATGGGGAAGTTATTGGATTTGAACATTTATTATTTGTTCAATTTGAATTTATTGGATTGACAATTAGAAAGAAATCTGTTAAATCACTTTTTGAAGAAAATAAAAATAAAAATAAAAATGATAATAATATTAACGAACAAAATAATAATACTGATTTTGTGTCTCAGCTTGTTTGGATTATTATACAATACATGCAAATGACTGTTGAACAAGTAAGTTATTACTATTATTTTTTAGAGAATAGATTAATTATTTAATGATGTTAATATATATATTGTTATTTGATATTGCTATATTTAGGCAGAAACTTGGATTTCAGATGCTAATCAATTTGTAGCTGACGATGATGATGATACTTTCAACTTTAGTGTTAGAGTTGCAGCAGAAGATTTACTAACGGTAGCTTATCAATTTTAAAAAATAAAAACAATTAATATTTATTTATTTATTTATTTATTTATTTATCTATCTATATTTATTATATAAAGATATTAATGGACAAATTTCCAGAACGCACATTAAAAAGTCTAACAGCAATTTCACAACATAACATGGCTGAATCTAATAAAGCTCGTGCTGACGGTGATCCTAATTGGTAAAGTTTATAATTAATAACTATTTTTAATAAAGATTTCTTTTAATTTATAAATAAATAAAACTTTATTTTTCCTAGGTGGCAAATTCATGAAGCATGTTTAAAAGCAATCGGGTTTGTTTCTAATGAACTAATATCCGCATTAAATGATAAAAATTTAAATATTGGAATAAATCTTGGCATATTATTTGAACAAATAATACATCAAATTTTAAATGAGCCAGGTGTGTTTCTTTTTTTTTCTTGAGATTATTATTTTTATATAAATATAATCTTTTTAAAAAACATTTATAATATATATATATATAGAAGGGTTTCCATTTCTTAGAGGACGTGCATTTGTTTTTGCAAGCCAATTTGCATCAGTTTTACCTGGAGAGTTAACATCAGGTTTTATTAAAGCTGCTATTGAAGCGATTAAAGATCCTGACGGTACTATTCCTGTAAAAGTATCCGCTTTACGTGCATTAAAAAGGTAATAATTATATTTACATAAATATTATATAAACAAATATTTAACAAAAAGTATTTTATTCTGAAAATAAATAAAATAGTTTTTGTCGAAATTTAAATGAACAATATGTTCTACCATTTCAAGGAACTATTATTGAATGTGTAGCAAATCTTATTAATGTGACAACAGAAGATTTCCTATTATTAGTATTGGAAACACTTGAAAGAGCTATTAAAGTAAAATATACATATATATATATATTCTATATATATTTATAAAGTTTGATGGCTGGAGGTCTGAAAACTCCCACGTTTTAGTTTAAAATTAATGTCTTCATTTTTTACTAGATAAATAGGGATGTAATATTTCAATATGAGGGTTTGATAGGACCAATGGTGGTTGACGTTTGGCAAAAATTTCCTTCAGGTAATAAATTTTATTTTTTATTTTTTTAAAAGCTAAATTCTTTATTTTAACTAATTTAACTGTTTATGATAATAGAACATCTTGTTATGTCGGCGGTAAATTCGATTTCTGAAACTTTATCAATTAATTCAACATTTATAGAAAGAGCTTTACCCGCCTTGGCCAATATAATAATGAATCCTACAATTGATTCATCACATACAGAAGTAAAAAAAATATTTTTAAAAATAAATTTGTACGAACTTAAAAAAAAACTTTTACAAATAATAATAAAATTTTTTTATAAAGTCTGCTATAGATTTAATAACAAGTCTTATCAGAGGAACAACAATATCACCTTTGCCGTTCGTATATATACAACATATATTTCCGCCCTTAATTCATTTAATGTTAACAACAGAAGAACGTAGTATATTGCAGGTATTTTTTTGATTGGTTAATTGGTTATTGTTTTTGTTTTTTTTTGGAATTATTTCAGAGAATAATATTATATAATATTAATTATTAATATTAATATGTATGTATTTTTATTTATTTAGAGTGGAGAAATTTGTTTAAGATATCTTGTACAAAAGGGTTGTTCGCAAATTTCTGAATGGTAAATAACTTTATATTTAAAAAATAAATCAAAAATAATAATATCGATTAATTATTATATTGTTATATTGTTATGCATTTTTTAGGACTGATAATATTGGTAAATCTGGACTAAGTTATTTGATAGATTATATTGCTAAATCACTTCAACCAATTGAAGGGGAATCAGCTGCTTTTCTTGGAGATTTAGTTGTAATTTTAATTAAAAAAGTAAATATTTTTATTTTTATTTTTCTATCCAAAAGAATCAAATAATGCCTCACGATTTTATTGTTATCAATATTAATAATTAGGCTGGCGATAAACTTAATCCTGTACTTCCTGATTTGTTGAAAGCAGTTGCTTTAAAACTAGATAGCGCCAAAACAACAACATCCATACAAGTATCTCATCCATATTTTTTATATAATATAATAATAATAATAATGTCATAATAATAGTAAATTTTTTTTCTTAATAATAATAGTCATTTGTGATGATATTTGCACATTTAATCCTTACACAAATGCAAAATGTAGTTGAATTTTTATCAACATTAGATATAAATGGACGTAGTGGACTTGAGGTATTACTTCATAAATGGCTTGAACACCATGATAGTTTTACTGGTTATTACAATTGTAAAGTTAGGTATGTATATGAATTATGTATAAATATGCATATAATTTTATAAATGTATTTAAAATATTTACGGGCTTTTTGCTTGGATAGCTCTGTTGCTTTAACGAAGCTTTTTAGTTGTGGTGATCCAAGAATAAGCGCTATTCAGGTTAAAGGTGATTTAAAAGAATCCAATGCTACTGGTATGTTACATTTATATTTAATTTTTATTATTTTTGTAGATTAATTTAAGAGATATAATTTTATATAATATTTAAATATATATTAATTAGGAATTAAAACACGTTCAAAGTCACGTCAAAGTTAGTTTTGCACGAAAAGATTTTATTATTATTTTTCTTTTGTAAATCATGTTAATATAATAACATCATCATTACTACTCTATTTTTTTATTTTTTTTATAAAATTTATAATATAAAAAAGATCCTGATCATTATACAGCAATTTCAGCACTATCAAAAATTTTAAAATTATTAATATCAGATCTTCAAACAACTATAGCAGAGAATAATAATGGTGATAGTAGCAATAATAATTTAATAAGAGGTTTTGAACATTTATATGAAGAAGAAGAGGATGATGGTGCTGAATCGGATGATAATGTATGTGTGTAAGATAATAAATAATAATTATTTTATGTGTGACATTGAAAATTTTGAAAAAAATAAAAATATAGGATGATGACTGGGAGGATGTTGAACAACCATCACCTTTTACACCTGCTGAAAATTACGTGATTTCTGATTTTTTGGACAGAGAACAAGAGCTTGAAGATATAGAAAATGATCCAGATATAAAAAATGATGAAATTTATAATCTTAAATTAAGTGTAAGCGTGTAATAATAATAATAATAATATATACATATTATAAAATTTAATAATAATAATCAATTTTTTTTTATTATATAGGAATATATTTTACATTTCCTTCTACATTGTAAAACACAAAATGTCAATAACTTTCGTCAGATATGTGAACAGGATTTAAACCAAGAAGAAAGAATTAAATTGCAATTGATTGATTGATTCTGATTGTCAATTTGATTATAACAATAAATAATATTTGCAAAAACAATTTATATTATAATGTTATTATGCATGATTCTATCTTTTCTTTTGAGGAAAGGTAATTGATTTCCTATATATATATATTTATGTTACAGCGATTTGTGTTAAATACAAAAAAAAACATGTCTTGGGTTGAAATTGTTTTAAAGGTATATATTTATTTAGGGGTGAGACAAGCAGAAAAAGGTTGTTTAAAACTTTAGAAGAAAGCTTTATTAAAACAAAATAGATATGGTTTCTAAACTAAAAATGTTCATTGTTACATTAGATATAGTCCAAAGATTGAAGAAAAGGTGATAAATGATCTTTGAGTATTTTTTCATCCAGTACTAGTGTTCGAACATTCACATTAATAGTAGTAACATATGCAAAATTATTGTCCACTTTTTGTTTGTTAATGTTTTGTGCGTGAAAACCAAATTTGCGTCAATTCGAGATTTAAATATTAATTAAAATTCTGGGGTAGGTGTTTGAATACAAAATTCTGATTGGCTAATTTGAATTTCGCGCGTGGATTTCAAATTGACTCAGATTCCAAATTCACGCACAACATTAATTTATGATCCGTTTATGAATCAGTGAACTTTCTGTTGCGGAATCATATTTCCAAAGTAGAATAAAAAAATTTTCAACAAGCAAAGAAAAAAATATATATCGATAACATTTGAGTTATTCTTCTATCTGCACGCACAAAAAAAATTTCATATAAAGATGCTTTCAAAAAAAAATTCTTAAATAATGTTAATAACTTGTTAGCCACCCATTATTGAGGATGCATTCTCTATCCTTGTAATAATGTCAATTAATCTCAAATATTTTTCGCGTGGGATATGTTACCATTCTTTTCTCAAATAATTTTCTTATTTTTTTGATGTGTAGGAAGTTTTTAATCTCCTACCAAGCTCATCCCATAAGTGTTCAATTGGATTAAGGTCTACGAATTAAGAAGGCCAATCTTCCAGAACCCTCATCCTTTTTTCAGATAACCATTTTATAACATTTTTAGCTGTATTAACAGGCACGTCATCATCTTGAAATTTGTAATGATTTGTAATAATTTATAGGGAGATTTCTTTGAAAGTAGCTTTTGTGCAGTGATGGCAACTAAAATAATGATATAATCTTAATGGTTTATTTTTCTTCTACTCTAGCCAATGGTTCTAACTCTTTACCTGCGAAGCAATCCAAACATTATTCCTCCCCACCATGCTTTATCGTTGGTACCAGATTTTCAATATTAAAACGAATCCCCTTTTCACACCAAATTCGTGTTGGCGCATCGTTACCAAATAGTGAGTGTAAGGCAACTTTTATCACTCCGTATGACATTCTTCACTGTCTTATGGTCCAGTTTAGTCTATCAATACACCATTCGAGTCTATTTTGACGCTGGATTTCGTTGAGATGTGGTTTTAATGCTTCATTGCATGAGTTTAAACCAATTTCATGAAAACTTTAATAAATTGTTGTAACTGAAACATTTAAACCGCTGGTATCGTTTATATACCACTAGAAGCAATTCTATTATTGTTAGCAATGATTTCCTTCAAAGCGTACTTTTTGGGTCTACCACTTCTCTGCTTGCTTATTGGTGTTTCAGATTTTCCATAAACTTGAACGCTCTTTTCACTGCTGCAGCTGGAAACAAGAATCTCGCTGATTTCTTTTCTAGTATGATTGCCTTTGAAAAGACATGATTTGAGATCTTTGAGCTATAGCGAATTTGTGATTTTTACCTAAGCCGACTAAGAACTTAAATAAGTCACAGTTGATGAAAAATTTTTCAGATGATACTAAGCTTGCCGTTATTATTATTACTACTACTATAATTATTATTACTATAATTTTATTATAATATCTTGCCTTTAAATAATTCGAATTAAGATAAGAATTTGCATTACGAATAGAAATTCTATAATTTTTATCCTATATGTATTGTATTTGTTCTTTGAACAAATGTATGTTTTTTGTCATTCTAAGTAATGCGGGTGGTCCATCTCAACTAAATGTCTATGCCACTAAATTCTGCACTAAAATTCCAGATGCAGAAATGAATGTTAAGAGAAATTTTTTTTTAGCCGGCCAACATCACTATTTTTTTTTCATAATATGTAAATCAAAATCAAAAGTTACATTATAATAACAAGAACTAGAGCTATCTAATAATATAAAAATCGCAGATATTTTATTTTGTAAAAGGAATTTTGGATAACTTTTGACGATCAAGTGCATTCTTTCCTAGAACCTTATAAGAAAAATTACCAAAAAAGATTAAAATTAAAAAATGCATATTGCTATAGCAAAAATCAACCATTCATAAACATTTATGACATGTTGGAGGCTATATGGTCAATTGTTTGCTGATTTCTTGCTGATTTCTTGTCAAGATGGTGTCAAAATTAATAGCTGAATCCCCATAATTGAAATTCTAAAATATCATCATGTAATAAAGTGAGAAAAACAATTTTATGCTAGACTTATTTATAGTAGAATTAGATATTTTGAATTATCTTTTACATATTCCTAATGTTAGGATGTTACATCTCGATGCAATTGACAATTACAGTATGCTAAAAATAAAAGGTAGATCATTTCCAATAAGATGGATCATATATTAAATATTCTTCTGAAAAGTTCGAATCAGTAAAGCTCTAGGAGTAGTAACTTATTTTTTTTCCTTTAATGATCATTAGCGCGATTTCTAAAAAATTCCATCATATTTTCATACACCAAAAATGTTGTACAAGTTCCTGGAAGTACACGTAAAATATTAGGAGCTAAACCTTTATAAAAACCAAAAAAACCTTCTGATCTAATCAAAATGGAATATATTGTGATTATGATTATGATTATGATTATTAGGACAATTTTCTAAATAATTTATATATTTACCTGAAAACCTTTTTTATTGTATCGATTACACCGTTATATTTAATTTCAAAGCTTTGGTTTTGTAATCTAGCTTTAATTAATTGGTATGGATAGGTTGAAATGGTAGCAAAAATTTTCGAAGAACCAGCAATCAAAAGATATTCTAGGTTGTCCTTTTTGATGATGATAAAAATTTTCAGAAGATAATAACTAAAAATATTATACTAATAGAAGGATATGTATATAGACTTACTAGTTTTTTACGATCTTCCTTTGAACCAATTTTCAATTTCCATTTCTTCATTTCTTCATAAGCCATAAATTGAAGAGCACCATGAGAAACACCAAAGAATGCAGGAATTATACCTCTATACAAACCACGTATTCCTTCATATTTTAAAATTTGATATAAACCATCGAATAAACCTTTGTATGCTCTAGGATCATCTATATTGGTAGCACACATTCGGGTTTTAATAACCCAAAATGGATTTGTAAATAGTGCAGTAATTGCTCCTTATTATCAAATAATCAATCAATAATATATTTATGTATATTAAATGAGTGTATATGTGATTTATTAGTTGATTAAATGGTTAATTAATTAAAATAATAATATATGATTGAATGATTTACCAGCTTCTGCAGAAGCAACTAAATGTTGTATTGGAGATAATTCAGATGATTTGTTATTACTTGCCGTTTTTTGTTTAAATAGATCATACCTAATACAAGGTGATAAAATTATGGGTTCATCCAAATATTTGTAAGCAGAAGAAAAAAGAATGAAATTGATTTAAAGTTTAATTATTGGTTTTAAATTTTTTAACAGAAAACCTACCAAATAACTATTATATGTGATTCCATTGTTTTGGTTTTTTTACATCCTTACCAATAAAAATATAGACCCCAACTCGTGGTAGCCCCAGTAAAATTAGGAGAAACGCCTCGATATAACCCTTTTAAACCATACTTTCTCCAAATAATATTCATTGTTTTAAAAGTGGCACCAAATTGATGCCTTTGAAATATCTTTCTCGCTGAATCATCCACTATTGTTTGATTTTTAACATTGATCAATCAAAAGTTTAGATTAAATAACTTTTACCAAGTTGATTGATATAACCAAAGTACCTTGAAATCTTGTCTTGATCAAATCAAATGGATGTAAACTAATAGTTGTAACGGCACCAGCGGTAATACCAGCAGTTGCATGATCCTAAATGCAAAAAATTAAGAACAAGTCTTGTTAAATTCATTAAAAGAAAAACCTAATATAAAATTAAAAGTACCAATTCAGGATATCTAAAAAATGATTTGGGCATCATGAAAATTTTTTTTGGGTAAAAAAATGGTAAAATATATCTTGTAATTTTTTATATTAAGGATAAAATAATTCCCGAATCTAAAAATGGATCTTGTATTAATTTTCGTCCCATGAAAACTGGTTTTTTGATGTGGCTAGTATACCAATGAATTACAAGGTAAGTAGTATTAGACTCGGACTAAAAAAAAAAAAATGCTTTCTATTTAAAACATTCTAATTTAAAAATACTCTTTCCGGAATATTATCATGAAGCCGAGGCATGTGTGGTAGATATTAATAACAAAACTAGAACTATACCAGAAAATCATGATCAAGACACAAAAGTTATGATAAATGAATCCGTATCGAATGATGAAAACAGATCCCATGAAGATGGAGCGAAAACATCCTCTAAAAAGTGAAGACAACAGAAATTTTCTGCGCTTTAATCCCAACGATTGTTATTTTTTTCAACAAATATATAATAATAGATATTATATTAATGGATCCTTGAGAAGATTGGTTTAGATAAATGGCAAAAATGAATCTCGTAAAGAAACAACTGCAACATTAAAAAATTTACACAACTCACAAAGTATTTCTACCATTACTCTTTTTTTAATTGATGAAACAAGACCCAATTATATGTTTTTATGACAAAAAATAGTTTAGAAGCCTGACAAAAAAATCTTCTTCATAATAGCAATCAGTTATATGTAGATTTAGGGCCATCAATTCTATATCATATAAAGCAGCCAGCATCGGATATATATAGCTTTGG